ATGTTCTTGTAGCTCACTAACGTATTCTAAAGTTCTCAGGTCACATTCTGTACTTGTGTGAGGCTGAAGGGTGTTTGCTGTCAATCTGGGCTCAGAAAGCAGGAAAGTAGGTGTTTCAGTCGTGATGAGCAGATAATTGGCGTAAACCACGACTTCCATTCATCGCTGCATAAAATACTTCACACCATAAAGCCGAATGAGCCACACGAGTAACGACTGTGACAAAGTGAAATATCAGCAGTCTTGACTGAGCTTGAAGCGTCATTTTTGGCAAGAAAAAGTCATTACCTGTCTGTTCAAAGGAGACGTGGATGCCGTCCTTGATCTTCCTCCAGATGATTTCTCTATTACTTCTCGTACTCCGTCGTAATGTACATCAGGTTTTTGTTGTTGATGTGTCACGACTGAATCTCCACAAAGAAGCCATCAGAGACTCCTTGTTAGTTATTTTATTCTCTCTTTAGCCTCCATGACGAAGACACACCAATCTGAGCAGGAGGATCGCTTCCCAGAGCTCCAGGGGTTTGGTCCGTCCCAGCTGCAGAGTGAAGAGGAGGCCAGCCACCTAATCAGACCCCACAAACCTCTCAATCCTTTAACTGCCTCCAAGAGCCACCAGGAGCTCCACAAAGAGCTGCAGATGACCCACAAGAGGTTGGACGGAGGCACATGAACACTCACAGCTGAGTCTGATTATTTCTATACATCATCAGGTCCTTATGTGTTTCTGACAGGAGAGTGACTCAGGAAGGAAAGACTGAACTCCAGAGAGCTCTGGAGAAGAGGAAATGGGAACAAAGGATGAAGGCGAGCAGAGATCAGCAGGAGGCGAAGAAGAACACGTCGCCTCTTCACCAGGAGCTGCTGAGGAGGCATCAGAGGCTAGAAAACGTACGCACGGGAGTATTAATGTTGTTGTTTCTTTTTATCCCCCCACGTTTCTTCACAAATATTCCTGTTATGTCTGCTTAACAAACCGTCACAATGGTTAAAATTAGAAATGAGATGTGTTATTGTGTCTAGAACCTTCAGCGCTGCGTCGTATCAGATAGGTATTATCATATTTACACACAGGAGCGTGACATTGCTTTTGTGATTGTGGGATTATTTACGGCCGTGTGGAACATCGGGTTGTTCTGCAGTCGGCCAGCGGAGGGCGGTGTAGACTGGTTTTGGCTCCTGCAGCAAATCTAGTTGACAGTACACCTGTTTTAATGTCATCTCGGGGTTGATACAACCTCAAGGTACATGAATTTAGGTGTATAGCATGAAGAGAGTTGTGATTTTAGCTGTGTTTTTAAGAGCTACACGTCAGGTGGCTCTTTCAGCTGCATTTAACACTGGAGTAATACTTTATGAGTAAAAAGGGCCTTCAAAAAAAGGGAACAAATCCAAATACTGAATGCAGAAAAAGTAGTGGGTGTTGTTAATGCTGCATTAAAGTATAATTCTATTCGCTCCAAGGTAGTTGCATTTTATATCGTTTTATTTCTACTATTTTTATTATATGAGGCATCCTGAACACTGTAGCTGCCAAATAAATATAAAAAAAACAGGCAATGTTTACTGTATTTTGAATTGTACTGGACAACAAATGTGGCATTGAAAGGAATTACTCAGAAGCACAGAGAAAATGAATTAAAGCACACGAAGCCGGCGCTGCTAAAGTGCAGCACTCAGAGAAATGCTTCTAACCCAACATCAACAAAAAATATCTCGAAAAATGGTTATTTACACACACGAGCTCCAAAATTTCCTTTTTATTTCTCCACAGCTGGAGAGAGAGGAAAAATCCAAGCAAGAGGAACCAGAGTTCCTCCAAGTCAAAGAGAGACTGAGGAGAACCACCACCGTGCCGGACGCAGGAGAGAAACAAGTGTGACGGTTAAGATGGGTGACTGTCCGTCGGACGTCCAGCACAACAGACTGTTGGGAGGAAGCGACTTGTTGAAGGAAGCTTAAGTGTCTCCTGCTAGGAACAGATAACGCTGCTCAGTATTCATAATCGAGGCGACACCTTCCGGTCAAGTGGAGACACGCCGTTAGCTGACAAAAGGAAGAAATATTTCAGTTTTTATTAATGCTACGCTGTGATGAATTAGATGTGCATAGACGGTAACTTAATTAGTTTGAAAATTGAATTAGAGTGGCTGATCTTTATGGTCCGTAATGCATTAGACACAGAGGACAGCTAAAAACAGGTTGTGATATATATATCATTTGTTTTTCTCCAGCAATGAGTGTTACTATTTTGTTATCATGTCTGTTATGTGTTTATTAGTAATATTCTGATCAATCCCACGCTATCATCAGTATACTAAACAATCAGATATATTTGAAGGTATCACAGTATGATGTGATATTAATCTAGGTGAAGAGATGACAGACATCTGCAGGTTGCACTACACTGGACATTGTGCCTTTAGAATAACTGCATGTTGTTCACTCAGTAGGAACAAATAGATCAATAACTACAATATGCAACACATCTTTGTAATGGTGTTCTATGTACACGTTGCATTTTGCAGGTAATTTCAAATCCACACAACTGGCTCAGATTCACCTGCACTCCTTCACAAGCCAGTGTTTTCTTTACATGTTAAAATAAAGCCATGTTGTACAATAACAGCACACACAATGCATAGACAAGGAAGTTTTATTTCATTTCCTGCAATCTTTGTGGGTACAAATCGTATTTTCTTCCGTCTTGTTCAATAACCCATGATGCATTGCATCCATACATTTGTAGCTCAAAACAGCTTTTACAAAAAAGGATATACAATATATACTTATATTTATATATATAATATACATGTGTTTCTTTATGCATTTAGATGTGTTTGTAATGGGTAATATAAGCTTTTTTTTAAAAAACGAAAAAACACAGCCAAGTGGAAACAAATCCCAGGAAAGGTTGAACAGAAGGTCATTACCAAACATATAATAGCCAGGTTATCAAAGTCATCAACGTTGGCTATCTTACAGTTAACATGAAGCCCTTCAAACACAGTTTGCATATTTTCCACAATTACAGTCATGTAAATCCAGAGTGATTGCCTTCTTTTTCTGTACTATGGACTTGTTTGTTTCAGTGTTAAGTGGAGGAAAACTAGGTTTATGTGCAAACAAAACATATTTCAATTCAGCTACGGTGACTTGGTCGATGGTTCGGTGGATGTTTAAAGCTAACAGAACACAACACGTCGTGACACACTTTAATTTAATAATGGCACGTTATGATCGGTATCAGGATTAAGGGAGTTTCAGCTAGTTGTCAGAGGAGAGATGTTTTATCACTATATTAAATCCCTTTCAGAGTCACAGTCGTCCTTCATCTGAGTCGTGCATTTAAAAGATGAATACATATCTGAATCTACAATAAAACCTTCCCATTTCCCCGTATGGCTTTTTACTCAGGAGGACAGGTGTAGAGCTCGCACACTGGCAGACGGGTGATGTTTCCAGCACCGTGACGGGTTTTTTTTTTTTTCTACATATATTTTGCACTGTGGCTGATATGTGTGTGTTGTTTTTTTCTCTACTTGTGTCTGGGTGTCAGCTAGGAGTGAATGAGTCTACAACAGCAAAAAATCAGAATGAGTAAAAAAGAAGAAGTAGGTCGCTCAGGTAGAGACTCGGCCTACGTAGTCGATGCAAATGATAAGTCCACTGTGCTGTGTTGTATTTTGTCAACAACATTACTTCTGGTGTTACTCACTTCACATTATATAGCTCAAAATTACAGTATTACATCATTTTTCAATACAACAGAGTAATAATAATCATGTGAGTTTATACTAATTGATCATCATTCATGTAAACATATTTAACCAGGTCATGCAAACAGTAGACCAAAACTTCTTCCACTAGAGGTGCACAGCACAGAGCAGGCGGAGCGCCCAGACTGAGATCCCTGCGACTCAGCGAGAGCCAGACCCGGAGACTGACAGCTGGCGGCTGTTTAGACACTTGTCAGAAACAGAACGGGAAGGATGAGCGCGACATGGATATGATTGTTTTCTTCCCACACACAGCGAATTCCCAGTAAAAACGGCACCTTCAAAGCAGCTCTCCGAACACGACGGGCGCCGGCGGAGGGGAGGTGAGAATCCTGCCATTTTACACACTTTTTGGGGGATCTCAGTTTGAGCCTCTGATAACAGAACAGCCATAAAAAACAAACAAACAAAAAGAGTCTCCTTTTGATATTCAAACATTTCAATCTTTTTTCCCCCCAACAGAAGCATGCAGACACTTTGGGTCAGAACCACCCTTCGCAAACCCAGTCTGAGCCAGAATATAGAGTCCATAACCCCCAGAATCACTCTCAAGTATCTCCTTTCCAAAAAGGCTTTAAACAAAAGGAGTAAATACTTAGAAAAACACAGAAACACTCAATGATGACAGTGTGAGGATGAAGAGGGCGATCAAACGGAAATGAACGGAGTCAGCGGTGGAGACGGACACACCTTGAGATTAACTATATTCAACTAAACGGCTACTTGGTCGGTGACTGGAAAGAGTCACTTGGATGCGTAAAGAGCATAAAGACATGCAGGAGTAGCTTTCAGCACGAGTATTTTCCCTTTTCTTTTTTGCCCTGTCTGGCCAGATTTTTTGGAGAAAGCTGCCAGTCAAGTAAAGTGAGTGGGCCAGATGGATGTGGGCACGCAGGAATTGTGATTAGAGGTAGATGTGACAGATAATGTGAGAACAAAAAGGATGGAGGAGATTGCCTTTAGGCCACTGCCTCACCTCTGATTAAAGCTCCAGGAGCTTAGATCCTCACATCCAGAACCACTTCTTGTAATGCACACACTGCCAAATGGCCACACTCTGCTATAGCTGCACCGTGTTCCACTGGTGGAGGGGTTACTAGAGGACAATCACACAGTTAGACCCCTTAAAATCAAAAAAGCCAAACTTCCTGTCTATGTGAGGCAGCCTTGCATACCATTCTCCAACAATGTGTGTATCTTTTAGTCATGAAGTGCTTTTTTTTTTGTTGCTGTTGTTGTTGTTTTTTTTCTGGACAAAGACTTACAGTGTGTTTGGAGCACACTGTAACAGTGACCTGCTGGCTGTGGATGTACTCTGGCGGACACTGCCTGATATCTACTCTGCATTCCTGGCCAGACTGGGCGGACGGGCTCTGGGCGCTCCAGGGACACAATGTCACCATGACAACAGGAGGTTGTGCTCAGATGCGACTGGCTGGCCTGCAGCAGTAGGTGCAGCTTCTCAGGCTGTCCCGATCCGTGCTGCCCTCGTTGCTGCCGCGACGGCCGTCCTCGTAGTGCGACACTGGATGTTGGAGCAGAGCAGAGAATGCAATGAAGGTAACGGGACGTTCATGTGTTTTCCACCTGGTGTCTTGCTCTTATAATGGTGGCAGCAAAACCACATGGACAGCAGAAATGACCTGAAATGCTTCTTGCAATCTGAGCAAAGGTAAATATGAAAAGGATCAATCCATTCCTTTATAGAGTAACTTTATAGGGCTCTAACTGCTAGTTTAACCAACAAAGTGCAATATTACATCTACCTCGCTGCTAAACATAACAAATTTTGACTAATTTTGATTTCTACTCTGACGTTTATATTTCCTATCTTTTCCCTTACTACTCTGATATTGCTGTATTTTTACTTATATTTTGCTCTTGTTTTATTGGACTTATTTGGCTTTTTCTTTAAAAAAAACGGGACCTGATTACTAATTTCGTACCACAAACATGTGAATGTGAGCTGGCGTGACAAATAAAGTTCCTTGAATCCTTCTCAGCTGGGGCCTTTCTATGTGGAGCTTGCATGTTCTCCCTGCACCCGTGCTAGTTTTCAAACTTATTCCCAGAATCCAAAGACGTGCACAGAAGGTAATTGGTGGTTGTAGCTGTAGGTGTGTTGACCCTGTGATGTCCAGGTGCCCCCTGCCTCTTGCCCCATCCTCTACAGCTAATGGTTGGATGGATGTAAATTAACATGACCCACCATCACAGATACCTCCCTCCTTTCTCTGGGTACCGTGTGAAGCTTGAAGTAAGTTTGTGCGACACGTTGCCTGAAGCAAATCCCCCCCCTCACCGATTTTGATCCTTACAGGTCGAGAAGTTTCACGACATGTAGAAATGGATCTTCATCAACGAGTTTTCGATGTGAAGCGACGCCGCTGAGCCGCGGTACCTTTACACAGTGGAGCTAATCTGGCTGGCGACTGAGAACGCTGCTGTCAGCTCAGCTGTGATTCACAGTGTGTTACTTTCTTGTTAAAAGCTGCAGAAAAAAATAAAATCACAATATTTTGACTGTGTTGTAAATTATAGGCTGCCGAGCTATTGACTTTATTTACAGTTGGTGTACGGGCTAGTTTAGTGGTGACATGAACAAAACAGCCCGAAGAAACTGAACCTAATACGGAAGTGAAAACCGTCTGAATGTGCGCCGAGCGTCGGGCCTCCTGACTGACATCTAGAGTGCATGCCAGCAGTTCTGCAGCTGCTTAGCTCAGGACAAAGCTTTGATGAAAACCTTTCAGCGAAACGGAGCCAAAATGATTTGTGGTGTTCATTTATTCAAGCAGGTTTCATGTTTTAATGATGTTTTCCTCCCATTAGAAGTTTATTTAGTGGAGCGTCCACTGTATGGTGGGGTTATAGCATCTACCTATCACACATCCAGCTCATTTTTATTTTTTTAAGTTATTTTTTTGGCCTTTGTGCCTTTATTGGATAGATTTAGTCAGAGAGAGACAGGAAAGTAGGGGAGAAGAACATGTGGGAAAGGGTCATGAGCGGGAATCGAACTCATGACCTCCACATTGGGACTGTAGCGCTGCACATGGGACGCCAGCTCTACCAGGTGAGCTATAGCGGCACATCCAGCTCATTTTTATCCTAACACAACTCCTCCATTATATGGTTGGATGTGAAGGAACGTCCGTATTTGCAAATTATGAGGGTTCACCTCTCCGGACAGCACAAGGTGGTCTCATGACGAAGCTGTAAGAGGGATAAAACACTGTATATATGCACTGGAGCACTATGTTAGTTACATTTGGGTGGATTTATTATAAATATTTATCCATATATTGACATATTTGGTTGGTTTACAGGACGTTCTGTGTTGTTAAGCACTAATTTGAATTTGTTGGAGCTTTTAGACGAATCCAAGGTTTCCGATTATAATGACAACACGGCTGTTGAACGCTGAGTTGAAAAACGTCAAATGCAGTAACCCTGGTTTGTTATGAAAAAGGCACATGTGCATCCCCTTTCACACGTCCACCCATCTAACACTACCTTCCATCGTCAGACCTCGACTCTCATACAGTCACAACACTCCTTCACTGCTAACTTACAGCTCTCCTCCTCCCCGTTGCCCAAATCGTCGTCCTCCTCCTCCTCCTCCTCCGGGAGCAGATGTCCGTGGCAGGGACTGGTGGGAGTAATCTGACTGGGTCCCTCGAGACTGGTGCCCAGCTGCAGCTTCCTCATGTGGCGCACCACCGCTGTGGCATTAAACGCTTGCTGTATGGAGGGAAGGAAGAAAAACTACAGTAAGAGCCTCCTATGTTTGACAGCTAGTGAGAGAGAGAACACAGAGAATCCTGCCAATCCTAATTCTGCTTTTTCAGCAGGTTGCTCCGTGATTCAGCCGAGCCACTGACCTTCCATTTACTTTTGGCGAAGTTCTTCTTGATTTGTGCGCTGACGGATTCGTGGATGTTCTTGTCCAGAGCCGTGTCGCCGCATATCCTGCAAGTCGCCGAGGATGAAACAGTTTACAGGCACTTATCGGGGACTGCTGTTGTGTAATTGATTGGCTCCATTATTAGCCAAACATTAGCTGGAGAACGAATTAGTCAGCCTGCGGAACATTAATCTGCGAGTGTTTTAATTATCCCTAAAGTGTTTCTGTCATTTGTCGAGAAAAAAGCCAAACATTAGTTTCTCAGATGTGTTTATGTTGTCTTTGATGAATCTTGGAGTTTTGCATCGCTGGAAACCAACAACGTTTCCTTGGGTTTAGTAATCAATAATTAGACAAATGCTTGCAGCACACATGACAGTTATGTTTTTAATTGATTGTTTTGTGTATAAATTGCAAAAAAAAAAGGGGCCAGTTTACTTTAATGATCCCAAACCCCAAGTTGGCTTCTTGACATTATTTAGCTTTGTTCAGCCAACCGGCCTCGAAACCATTTATGAAGTGAAGTGAATGTTTGGCTGTCTTGCTGGAGTATTTCCTACCATGGATGCTGCAGGGCCAGCTCACACGTGTACCTCTTCAAGGGGTCTTTTTCCATCAGGTGACAGATGAAGTCTTTGGCTGCCAACATAATTTAAGCTCGTGTTACAATAATCCACTTCTTCTTTGCTATTTATCACCCCTGCATCTGTAGATGTTTCACCTGAATCGGAGATGTCGTCCCAGTACGGAGAGTCAAACTCATATTCCGCTTTCAGAATCTGCTCAAACAACTTGGCGTCGTTCTCGTCGTAGAACGGAGGATATCCACATAACCTGCGGGAGCCAGATGGGAACACGTTCAGCGCCAGAAAACCATCACGTTTCATACTCTTCAGAGATGAATGAACTTACAGAATATAAGAAATGACTCCTATGGACCAACAATCCACCGCTTTGCTGTACGGCTTCTGAGCGAGCACCTCGGGAGCTGCACCCGTCGGTGAAGTGGGAAAAAAACAACAGCGGTGAGGGCAAACTCGAGTAATCTTGACCTTTTAGTAATACCATGTGAGCTGGCAGGTCACGTTAAACAGGTAGAGAGCTCTTGTGGAACACTTGCAATTGACTCAGTAGTGGATGAAAGAGCCTCTCACAACGCGGTGCATAAAGAGGGGATATCAGCTGAAACAGTGAGCGCTGAGCTCACATGAAAGAGAAGGTGGTGGAGGGGAGGAGGAGGAGAATCGGGCTGACCGGAGAAACAAATGCCTCACCCACATATCCGGGAGTACCGCAGGCTGTGGACATGACGCTGCCCGCGCCCTCGATCTTCGACAGGCCGAAGTCACTGATCATGATCTTGGAGTCTTCGTCCATGCTGTAATAGAGCAAATTCTCCGGCTGCAAAAGACAAAGAGGAGAATCAGAGAGGAGGGTTTGGAAATGGGAAAAACTGCCAGCCAGATAGAGCCGTTTTATCTCTGTCTTCTCAGATACCTTCAAGTCTCGGTGGACGATGCCCATGTCGTGGAGATATTTGACTGCATCCAGGATCTGGTGGATGAGCTGGCTGGCGTCTCTCTCCGTGTAGAAACCTTTCTCCACGATTCTGTCGAACAGCTCGCCTCCAGACACCCTGACGGTTCAGAATCATTGACTCAACATTCCTCTACCTTTACTGTCAATTTACTGTTGAACTGAACTGCGACAAAGGATTTATTTAATTGAAGCAATAATCAGTCACGTTTAATGAAAAGCTTTGTGGTGGGAAAGTCTGCACAAACCTGCAGCAATATTTTTGAAGATAAAATTACTCAAATCCACAAATGAATTTTTAGAATCTAGATTAAGAAGCTACCAATTGCATGAATCTTAGTAAATTGTGCTAAATTATGCAGGACAGCTTAATCACTTGGAGGTTTGACATGAAGCTGCTTGAAGGAAAATGTGGGAAAAGTGAAAATGAATTGATCCTTACAAGTTCTCAGGTCCCACGTGAGCTTATATCTGTGTCAGATCAACATCCCAAATCTCCAAAATCATAAAAAACTATCCACAAAGACAAGCAGCAAATTCTAGCATGACTCAAAATGTGTGTCAATTAACAGAATCAAACGCTTCGGTTCTATTTCACAGCACAAACGTGTGAGAAACGCACACCTTCTATTATATAATTGGCCCTTGTGTAACACCAAAGAGGAGGGAGGACTCACAGTTGCATGACAAGATATAGGTGGGATGTGCTTTCAAAGATGTCCTCCAGCGAAACAATGTTGGGATGCTTGATTCTGTAAAAAAAAAAAAAAAAAAATGCATTTTGAAATGAAGAACATCCCTCTAATGCTTCCTGTTAATTGGTCACCAGATGGCATTCTTGCTGCGTAATTTCGAGAGGTTCTGTTCTGTGTTTTCAGTGGGAAGCACAGCAGTAAACTGAGCTTAAACCTATGTTTTACCATGAAAACACATAACGACAGAACCTCCCTTTGGATGGACTCCCCTCCTGTTGTGAGTAACATGTGTCTGCAGCTGGAGAAAAACCACCAAAGAACAGCTTGCGGGGTTCGACAGTACGACTACAACAAATGCTAGCCTCGCTCACCCAAAATTTTTTTTTTTTACTTGGATCGTTTATTGTTATGAAGCAGCCGGCAGACGGTCGAGCATCTCTCTTGGCTCACGAGTCAAGTTGAGAGCATATGAACCATCACTAACACAACAGCAGCTGAGAGGAGCTAATGAGACTTTCAGCAGAGAATCCCTCTTTCGTTCCTCTCGTTATCTTTTTTTTTTTTTTTTTACTTCCTTGATGCCTCTCGTGGTTCTCTTATTTATTTAATTGCGACTTTAAATATTTAGCCAAACTCCTCCCATTCTTCCCATCTCTCCTGCCCTACCTCCCCCCCTCTCTCTCTCTCCACACTTCTCCACCCTCTACGTCTCTTTCTCTTTCTTCAGTACACTGCTGCGGGGAACTCCACACCATCTCCGCCTCTGTGTGCTGTTGCCCTGGCAACAGGGACACTAAAAATAGGTCTATCTTCTTTACTCCTGACATTTCCGGTGCACAATCCTACTGTTTCTACTGACACCATGCATTTAGTCGCCCATTCACTTGACCCCATGCATGTATATTCTGCATGCATTGTTGGAAGAGGGAGTCCTCCTGCCAGACACGAAGCAGCTAACGGCCAACTTCTGGGACCTCACCTGTGTAGTACTGCGATCTCATTTTCGATGTTGTTCTCTTTGCCTTCCAAGGCTTTCTTGGGGATGCACTTGATGGCCACCAGCCGCTGAGTCCTCTTCTCCTCCGCTAGAACCACCTCGGAGAACGCACCCCTGAAACAAAACAAGGCAGTAGATGAGGAACGTGTGGGGGTGTGATGTGAAATGGACCGAGATCAGCAGTCATTCCTCTTAACCCACAGCCCACGATGGCTCCAAAGTGCAACAAAAAAAAGGAGTTAATTAACTGCATTCTTCAGCTTTTCTGCTCAGATTTTTTTTCTGAATTCCACTCCAGTGCAAAGGTGTGCTCCTGGTCCACATTAATTACGTCCAGTCCGTTCATTTGATATTTTCATTATCTTCTAAAAAGCTGCTTCTCAGCAACGACCCCACATCCCCTCATGCTCTGCACGCAACCATCTCGGTGTGTGTTTTGCGTGGCACAGGTGCATGCGTGTGTGTGTGAGTGGTGTTTAGATGAATAATTCAAAACGGTGACATTACCAAGAGGGTTTTTGGAGGGCTGAGAAAACGCTCGGGAGGTGAAGCAACAGTCACCGAGACGTTTATAGGAATGGAAGTTGCTTTAAAAAAAAAAAAAAAAAAGACGACTATTTTTAATCCATTCAATAATAGATAGAGTAAATGTAGTGTAGCTGTATCCGAGGGAGACTAGACTGCATTATAGATTATGGTCTGGTGATGATGAGAGGGAGAATAGTGTGTATTTACACAGTCTCCCCACAGGCGCGTGGGAGGCAGCTCGGGAGGAGGCCTGAATGCACCAACATTGTTAGCAGCCACGGGGATCCTCTCCGTGTGTGTGTGAAACAACACTGTCACTCACAACACAACTCAAGTTTGAGAAAACACCCGAATGTGAGCGTCTTCACGGGAGTCAACTTCTCCTCGCTCCAGATGTAAGGATGCGGGCTTCGCAGTGTGGTTACCAACGGCAACCATACGGAGGCAAACATCTCTCACTTCGCTTTAAATGTTTATTACCAGTTAATTACAGAGCCGAGGAGTTATTGTGCCCGTCTCTCGGCGCACCTCCTCTCCTCTTCCCTCCTCATCATCTTTCCATAATAAATGCTCAGTGTGAATCGGTGGTAATCCCCGCCACGGCTTTGCACCGTGGCCATCTTGTGCTCAACGAACCAGTGCAGTAGAAACGTTGGCGTGGCGAAGCTGAGAGGAGAGCTCGCACACGTCTCCGGTTTCACTTCTAAAATAATCTCTGGAGCGAAATCGCATAAAGCTCCAATTGTCATCGATTCATAAAAGCATTCTGATGTGTTTAAGTCTGCGGCATTCAGAGTTGAACGGGAGGGGCCGAGGTGCTAAATATCTGTCAGTTAAAAGTGTTTCGTCTCATTGGGTGTCAGCGGGATGAGACAGATGGACGGGAAGCACCACTGATGTGTGATTTTATTGCTGAAAGGTTAGCAATGTTTCCTCCCTGTAAATAACATATCTGTCTGAAATGCTCCTATTTGTGGAGAAGGCTTTACTTAGTAGAAAAGATCAGATTCACCTGTAATAGCAGCAGATTATTGTTTTAAAGCTAAGCTATCCACATCAGTCTGTCTCAAATATCTCAGCAACTATTGCCATCACCTTTGGTACCGACACTTCTGTTTTCCAGATGATGAGGCCTTTGCAACACGTGGACCTTCTAGGCTTTTGTAAAGTTTCAGTTGTTGGATGAACTGAAGCAAAGGTTGGTACAAAAAATTAATTTCTTAAATACTTTGCAAACTTTTTTTGTAAAATACCACAATCAAGGCAACCAAAAATAAAAAATAAACGTGCAAAAATAGTCATATCAGCCTTTGTTTTTAGAGAAAAATAAAAGCAAATGTCAGCCTGGCAGCTCTCTAAGCCGGTGAACATGGTAAACATTATATAACAGCATGTGAGCATGTTGGCATGCTGATGTTAGCATTTAGCTCCAAGCTCCGCTGTGTCTAAGTAAAACCTCCTATTACTGCCTCCAGCATGGATGAAGACTTCTGTTGAAATACAATAAGAGAAAGGGAAGAAAAATGATGGTGCTAGTACCAAATGTTTTCCTCAATCGTTAGCGTGAAAGATGTCATTTAGATTCTATTACAGTACATATCAGATTGACCAAACATGCCTGGACATCAACACAATGTTAGTTATATTAGTCATTCTGAGCCCAACTGAACAAAACTGCATCATTTCACTAAATATCTGAGTGACGGAGTGAGCGAGAGCAAATGAGAGAGCTCGAAAAAGGACGTTCATGGATGTATGTACACACACACACACACACACTTTTCTACTGTTGCCATGAGACACACTGTAATTAACCATCCAGTTGCTCATTTCTCCTTGGAGACATTGTAGGGGTGGGCTCTCCACGGGTTTTGGAGAGGAGCACAGAGGAAGAGAGGAAGCTACTGTAGCTGTTGCTGTGAACTAATGAGATTTTGTGAAGAGCTAATGTGTACATCTTAACGCTGGACAGGAGAGAAAATAAAAAAAGAAAGGTGTGTGTTGTTGTCTGGTTCTTCTCTATTCTACTGACAGCAGATAAAAAAAAATAAAAATCTGTTTAATGCCAGTTAAATAATGCTGGCACCTCACACTGACTCGCTGTTAGGAAATTTTAATAAATAAGTTTCACATGAGTCACTGGTCTCAAGACTCATGGCTGATGCATCTGTCGGCTCGGCTGTTTTTCTGGACATGAATAAGACGGTCGCAGCACATTTTTGATCTTTGGGCATTTGGACATTTTTGCAGACGAACGAAACTTTCAGAAGATAGATAGATAGATAGATAGATAGATAGATAGATAGATAGATAGATAGATAGATAGATAGATAGATGTGCTTTCTCTTTGACAGTCATGCATCTGCACCGGAGTGATGACGCTTGCCCCGAAGCCATCAGCACAGCAGGAACACATGCACACAGCGTGGGTCTCTCTGACACACACACACACCCAACTTGGTGAAGACATGCACCGTAATCCCAGCTGTCTATATGGGCAAATATTGATTCACACGTTCTCATATCGCTAACAGTGTCTCGCGCTGTTTTCACAATGATCAGTGTGCCACCGCCGAACGTCCTCGAGGCTTCGCTGATTAGGATTTCGTGCGCGACGGGTTCTTGCTTAACCACAAACGTCCCTGCTTGGCTACCACTCGGACCTGTTGCAGAGAGCCGCAAGCATCCATCAGTCTATCGATCTCACCTGATACAAGCACTCCCTACAAGCCCAACACGCTTCCAAGTCCCAAAAAAAGCTTTCCTATTTTAGGCTAATCCATTTTGTGTGTGTGTGTGTGAGACAGAGAGAGTGGATCCGTGCAGGACAAACAGTGTAATTCCATTCAAAACAATCTCCAGATCCATTTCTGTGTTGCAAAAATAACCTTATACATGTACATCGGGGACGCTCGGGGCTGCACGATTCACTGACAAATGTACAACTGTGTGTCCTCCATCTACTAAAGTCATGTGTAGGTCAAACCTCTTAACTCCTCTGCTCTTCTCTACAAACAAGCCAACCGGCACGAGTGCTTTCCAACAGCGTTCAGCGCTGCGTAATAGTCACGATGTTTGTGCTGCGAATCATTATCCACCTGATCTGTGCTGAGTAGTTCAGAAACACTGACTTATACTCTACATCTTTTGTAAGGTAATGTGAAATTAATGTTCATGTGCTTGCTCTGATCTCATTTCAAGTCCAACATCTATCATCCTGTGTGGCTTTGACTTCTCACTTCGGTCCATCCTGATGTTGAATCTCCATTAAACAACATAATATTGTGTCAAACAGCATTGGCTCTCTCACTCGTTCATGATTAACCAAAAAAAGAATCCAGCATCAGGATTAAACTCGAAAACTATTCTGCCGTTTACTGCTGTATTGTGCTCTAAAATGTATTCCTTAACTGGCCTCCGTGCACTTACTTCCTGTCAAGCCGCCAGCTCATGAAGATATCTCTGTCTGCAGGTCATGCACAAGATCGCTGCTCACAACGTCAAGTCAAGCAGCAACATCCTAATTCATACATGAACACATTAAACCCTTTAATTTCACTGGACGTTTAATCAAACTGTAAAAGGAAGACATCCGTGAAAGATGGAGATGTTAGAGAACTAGCTGCCACTAATTATGCCGATGGCAGCCCAGAACAACTGCAGCGATGGCTGAGCGGCCTCGAAAACAGAAAACCCGAGTGAGCGAGAATCTGTGCTGCACCTTTATTTGAGGCCAAAACAACAGAGATGTGACTCCACAACAAGTCCGGAGACTCTGCATTAGTCACTTGTTGTTTGGGCAACGCGTGACCATGACCTCAAAATTATAATCTGGCAAAAGGTCGGTCCACTAAGCTCCTGAATGCAAATATAACAAACAAAAACATCACAATGCATTAAAAGCATTCAGGACATTCTGCTAAATATCACTTCCCCTTTTGCATTGTGTCCTAAAGTGTTGTAAAGCTGGAATTATTTGACTAAAGCTTCTTTTTAGGGGTGACAGTTATAGTTAGATAAGAAAACTAACAAATAAGAAGCTACGGCCAGGAGGTACAAGTGAACAGAGAAAACAAAATGTCTCACAGTCGGTTGTCTGGCGCCTTACAGAGACGATAAAAACTATTGCTTCAGTCATCTGGTGACCCTTCAGCTGTTGTACGGGTTCAACAGGACTTAAGCTATGTTAGTTATGAGCTGGATTTTGCTGCTTTGGATGAGAACTAGACCGATACATCAGCTGGACGTGTCGGCCAGTCAGAGATGCTATGTTGGCGTATATTATTTACAGAACATGATGCAGAAAAAGATGCTTGGAGTAACTTAGAAACGGTGCAATCACAGAGTTTGAGTTGCTCTGATGAGTGTGTTGCAACACTCTCAGCACTGTCTGCAGCACATGTAGCAGAGAACATAGCTGAATAGACAGTAAAGTGGTGACTTCATGGTAAGTTGTAAAGTACAGTTGTGACTCGATAATCCGACGCTAAATGTAAAACCTTCTTCTGTGTCAGATAGCAAGGCTGTCGGATTGTCAAGACGGAGGCCGAGATACAAGGAGGGCTTGATGCTGGAAGGATCATTTGTTGTTAATATTCATTGTTCATAGTTGTTATAATAACTAGTGTGTTGTTAGAACACTACGCATCGCTGGATTTCACGTCTAACTGACCGGTGCGATTGTGCACGTTCCTGCCACTTCCACCCCGGGGCAGCGCTCCGATGGGGTGGAAGTGGTCGGAACGCTCAGGCAGTACTTGGCTGCTGATGCTAGTTTAGTTAGCGGTCACACTTCTGTTTCCACCATCAGCGGCGGCGGGGGAGTGGCAGAAACGCTCCACCGTTACCATCCATGTTTACTTCCGTAAACACTGAGCACGCTCGCTGCGTGTGACGTCGTCGTGTCCTCTTCTGCACATGCAGGACACTTTTGGGTCGTAAGAAGTTCACACAGCAGATCACATACAAGTTGTATTTAACTGGAAATGTGAAGTAACTCACAAACAAATCAGATTTCACAGAACACCTGCAGTGTGAACGTAGCCAATCTGTGGGATTGTTCAGTCAGATAATACGCCGTTATCCTGATTTGTGACATAAAATGTCATGTTGGAGTCAGAATCCAAGGCTGTCGGTATGTTAAGGCTGTTTTTAATGGGTTCTGTTCGTTTTTCCTTAAAACCTGTCAAATAGCAGGTTTAGGATTGTTAAGGGTCAGATTATTGAGTCGTGACTGTATATTGCTCATAAATCAATGTCAGATTTTTTATTTTTTACTCTCTATAATTCTGTATCGGCACCAGAACTCCAGTATCGATCTAGTTTCACTTTGGACAGAACTAGGTTAGCCGGTTCCCCCGAGCCGCCCGTCTGTCACTTCTCCTGTACAACTATGGACTCCTATTAATCTGACTCTCAACTAGAAAATAAAAACAGCACACTTTCAAAGGCACAGTGTGTTAAAATGAAGCATAACTATTCACTTCTTCCCTTCACCCGTTACGCATTCACAATCCGTAACACCATCACAGCTCTGTGCAGCGTTACATCAGACCTCACGTCTTTCATCTCGGATAAATCAGATTGTTAAAGAACAAAACTGTTAATCACAAATAATAATAATAACAACAACAATCACCGACATAATGACTTTTTGTTCCATCTGCTAACCCGACCACGAGGACGGTGTGTCCTCAAGTGGACTCCAAGCAGAGGTAGAACTGTGAGGATTAGCCGGATCTGAATATAATATTTCAACATAAATCAATTAACTTCACACGCTGAATTCCTGGATAAAGCTCCTCTGTAATCTTTTCTCTGAGCATAAGGAGCTTTCCGTCAACACATTAATTCTGCCCTCTGCCAGGTCCGGCTCCAGTGACAGGAGGGAAAGAATATTACTACGGCTTTTTTTTTTTCTACTTTCCTGAAACACACTATTCTGGCGAGTCACTCACTCCCTCAGCCCTTTGTTATATAACTTTTAATATCATACTTTAAATTACAATCGCTGCTTTAAGTTCCCGTCAAGTCCTGGTGGAATCCTAGCGTGAGTAGTCGTGAGCTCTCCAATACCACGTTGCCTACGGCGTTGCACGGCTCCGCTCGCTGTCCTCTCGCAGGATTGGAGGCCTCATCTATCCGCCCACTGCTATTTCACTTTTCTGGACGCGGACCAGAGCTGTGCAGTCATTAATATCTGATTCTGTGCTGCCTCTCTGGGGAAGCAGGTGTGATTCCAAGAAGAAAGAAAACAACCACACTACATATGGCACACTCGTGTCATCACAGGTGGACGAGTGCTGGGTCACTTGTACCCAGTTTGGGGGTGGAGAGGTGCCCCCTGACCATCTGGGCCCAATCCTGTCCCCCTGGAGAGTGCAGTCACAGGTCTGCGTGAGTCCAGCCCTCATCGTTAGCGGCTGCCAGACAACCTTTACCCCGCTGGTTGAAGATTCATTTTGCAGTTTATTTGCGACTAAATCACGACCGAAAATTCCCGACGATGCAGCAATAACAAAAATGTAATCGGGGTCGACGCAGGGGCAGCAGGAAATCTAACTCTCCAACAGATTTTACATGGGCGGATCGTACTCGAGTTTTAACAGTTTTTCAGGCAAATCGCAGCCAGTATTTGCTGCCAAACTTTTTTTTTTCTTCTCTTATTTACCCAAGCTGGGAGCTCGCACAGCTGTCTTTTACCGTATAGCTGCTATGTGATTCATCACGTGGTCAAATAAAGGTGGAGCCGCTTCCCACGGGCACGTGTGAAGAGGATAAAGAGAGAGAGAGGTCGCATTCAGGGTGATCTGAGTGGTTCGCACTGCTGGGCGATTAAAAAAAAAAAAAGGATTGAATTCAGTCATATAGTTTGAAGGAAAGTGTCAGTATTTACATTTTACTATCGTACACTTATTTACTTGTATTTTTACTTATATTTTGCTCTTGTCTTACCATTGTACTTATTTATTTTTTTAAAAAAAGGGACCTGAGTACCAATTTTGCACCACAAACATGTAAAAGTGAGCTGGCATGACAATAAAAGTTCCTTGAATCCTTGAATCCTTGAATGTGTTCTGGATAGAGATGACAACAAACAAGCTGTACCAACAAAGATTCAGCATTTAGATCAGTATTCGGTCCTCACGCTGTAGATAGAAACACAGGTGAAGCGGCCTGAGTAGATCTCCTCTCCATTTTGTTTTATTTTGAAAGAATAGCTCTTCTTCACAAACACTGATGTGATGTCCAAGAAAGGAGGAATAATTTTACTAGTTGCCACATGCAAACATCCACATTTCCAGCAGCAACATCCCGGCATTCAAGCTCTGGGTCGACAGCAGATAGGACTCTACTGAAGTTTAGTTTCATTTCATGCTTTTATTTTCACACGTGCTACTGGCTGACATTGGCTCCCACCATCAAACTTAACCAAAACTTAGCTGGAGAGTTGATTTGATGGGAGTGAGTGTGTGAGTCCAGCAAACAGTTGAGTCAGCACCGACAGTGGGCAAGAACATGACGAGTCTGAGTCAAATTCTGCAGCCCTGACAGCCTGGATCGATGCATGAAAGGGCCCTCTGTTTCTGTTTCTGTTTTTTTTTTTGTCAGCTCCTTGTGAGTTGTGGATGTACTTTGTTACCTGAAAATACTCATCAATCTCAGCACGCACACTGCAGATGTTAGCTTGGCTGTGTTGTCTCCAGAAACCCGACAGTAGTGGCCATTTTATTATAACACACTGTACCAAATGCAGAAATGGCAAAATCTCCAAAAGTAAATTACAAAAAAAAAAACACATATATATAGAGAAGACACCGCTCACGAAATTAAAGGCTGTTAAATAATTAGAAATCTGCTGTCCTCGAACTGAGAAGCTCCTTGTTGGAAGCCTGTTGGTGCTGATTTTGGTGGTGAAGGTTGGTTTAGATTCCTTTCTAACTTTAAGCTGAGTCTCCAGGAGAAGCATCAAGCCACTAAAACTACATTTTAAATGTTCGAGAGCGTTGCACCTTTTCTGAAAGACGTCCCCAAAACTGTGGCATTCAACGGGCTGCCCAGTAGGTCAACCGGGCTTCCTCCGACAACACAACCAAACCATCGGCGCTACTCACGTTCCCAACACCTCTTTGAAGTCATAATGTTCTTTGATGTCCGATGTCTTCTTTTTCCATCCGTTTCCGTCCTCTCCAAGAGGCATCCTACAACGCTGATCGGATTCACCACACTACAGCTGCAGGCGGGGGAAAAACAGGACAACGTGTGCACAATTAAGTTTCCACCAACCACATGTGTCACCCAACACATAAATCTGCAATCAAAGGGAACAAGCTGGATTTAACCGACCATGCATTTGTCTTCAGATAAAGAAAGTTTCCAACCACTTCCTGTATTCCAAACATCATTCCAACACATGGCTGGGATATAATAGGTAGAAATAAACATTTTATTACGTGCTACGCTACAATCAGTGCACTCTGATCTGCACAATTAGCAGCATTTAAACTTCAAAAAGTGTTCTGCCTCTGCATTGACTTCATACAGCACAGCTTGGCCGCTGGTTTTCCTCATTAACTATTGTTGCTGCATGACAAGAACACTGGCATGTTTCTATTCCATGACCACAAATGAAAGTAAAAGAAACCCCTGTGATACTGCAGGCCTTTTATTTTCTGTCCCATTTTTTTCATCTAAGAGAATAAATTAGAGCTAAACCGCTTGGAGCTGGGCGCAGAGTAGAGAAAGAGAAACAAACATCAATAGGAAATAGATCAGGACAGAAATAAACTTGCACACTAACAAGAAGACTTCTAAGCTGCTTCTCCCCCCCCCAAAAAATGCCACAGAGCACAAGAACTACAGGCCCAACAATAAATAGCAACCAATAAGAGCTTTAAAGTAGGGCAAACAGTGCAGCAGCAGCAGCAAGAAGAAAAGCCACCATATACCGACGCAAAAACAAACGCATGGTCAGTGGAGGCAGATACCAGCTGGGGGACCTGTGCTATATTTAACAGCTGAAGCCTCCAACAATTAGGCTGCCTCAGAGAGAGGAAAAACCCTGCAAATATCACAAAGTGCAAACTGTATTCCTGCGTTAAGGCTGCAGGGCGTGAATGACAAGCAAGCAAGCAAGGAAGCAGGGAGTTTGAATGGAGATTAAAAAAGAAAAAAAAAAAGCTTTTGCAATATGTCAGTGAAAATGCTTTCCATGGTGGTGTTCATGCAAGTGCAGGAGAAGGGGGGAGAAAAAAAAAAAGGCGGTGTGGGTGTGCGAGCCACACTGCAGCGCTCAAGGGTACGGCAGTCAAACGGAGGCAGGCGGCAGCATCTCCGGGTCGGAGCGGGAGGCTGCGACACGGAGGCGCACCGAGGGCAGCCGGTCCGACTGGCCGAAAGACGAGTACGCGGCGGATGGTGCGTGTCGGTGGGTCGTGTGAGTGAAGGAGAAACGTACCTAAATGGCGATCTGTAGCTGTGATGCGCTCTCCTTTCCTCTGGGAGCGATGTGGTTGCTGTGCTCTTGTGCGCAGCGCTGGGTCCGCTCAGACTTCTCCTGACGTCAAGAAACCAGACGTCTGTGGACGTAGTGCACCAGAAAAAAAAAAAAAAAAAAATCACTCACTGTTCTCTTAACAACGTGATCTGCGATTCACCTTATGATAGTCCGGCTGTTGCATGTGAAGGAGCTTCTTTCTTTATTTTATTTTTTCCTTTTTTTGGGACATCTGCTTGTTGTTTCCCTCAAACAGCTCCTTGCAGTGTGCAGAGGGCAGATAGCAGCATGTGCAGGTTATGCAGACAAGATTTTAAGGCTTTTTCTTTTTTTTTTTCCTCTACCCCCTCTTCCAAAAACAGGAATCACTGTGAATAATTTATCACAAAAGCAGCCCGAACAGCCTGCACACTCTCAAAGTCTGTTCAGACTGAAAACATGCCCCAGAATGAAAGAGGATTAGTGTTTTTAACGCAGACAGAATGTAAACTTTCAGGGAATTAAAGCTCTCTTTCCCCTCACTAATCTTAAGGCAACGCCCTGCTTTCTTTCTCTCACTGCTCCAAATACTCCCAGACTGGAGGGGGCCTTGCTGCTGGAGCCCACCTGGACCCTGCTGCTGCTGCCAGGGGCCCTGGGGTGGGACGGACAGGGTGGGGCCTGGATGTAGATAGACAGCAGTATGAAACAGAGCAAAGACTAAAAATGCCAGAAATTAAGGCCTATCCATCATCAGTGGCTTAACAATCAGCTCAAATGTATGTGTCAGTGTTGAAAGGTGTCCCTGTTGTTAACAGTTTACTGTTATTCACAGACTTTTCTAGTTTTGTTGAATCATAACTACTTAAAAGTAAAATCACAGAAAAATATGTTAATTTGCATGTTACCTTTAAAAGAAATAGGTCAAAATGGCAAATAGCATCCACATGAAAAATCTGTATTCTACGACTGAATGTGAAATTGCATATATATATTGAGATATTGCTCTAAATCAGCAAAGTATTGTTTTAAAGATATTGAAAAATTAATGATAGCAAAAATAGCTAATATTTTTTAAACTGTTATTTACAGATTTTTTTGGTTTTGTTAAATCTTAATTGCTTAAAAGTAAAGTCACAGAAAAATAGATTAATTTGCATATTAACTGTTTTTTTTTTTTTTTTTTTTTTTTTTAAATAGGCCAAAACTGCGAAATACATCCACATTCATAAACTGTGTTCTACAATGACTGAATATGAAACTGCACCTCTTTTTTTTTTACGGTAAATTAGCAAAATTATTCTTATTTTAGAGATTTTAGAAAATTAATAATGGTAAAAATGGTATTTTTAAACTGTTATTACAGATTTTCCTAGTTTTGTTGAATCATAGCTACTTAAAAGTAAAATCACAGAAAAATATATCAATTACCTGTTGTTGTTTTTGAAGTGAAATTGCGTGAATTTTTTTAATACTGTAAATCAGCAAAAATCTTATTATTTTACAGATATTGAAAAATAATGATAGCAAAAATAGTTTGTATTTTTAAACAGTTATTTAACAGATTTTCTTTGTTAAATTACAGATAATATCTGGTAATGTCACTGCAAAAAAGTTTTAATTTATGTTAATCATGAAGACAAATGGGCCAAAGCTGTGCATAATGTCCATATTTTTTTAAAAGAAAAAAAGAAGAAAAAAAAAGAAGAAAAATTCACATGTCACACATTTCACAATGTGTCACTGTAAATGATGTTGTTTTACTGTTTTTTAATCCACTGAAAATATTACATGAACCTGTACCAAGGAGGAAATATTGACAGAGAATCTTATTGTATTTTACCGACACATAAACTATCTATCAAACATAAACTACTACATTAAGGGTGTAAAAATGACCACAGAAGAAATACTACTAATAATTTAATAGTTCAATAATTTAAAGGTTTGTACCTGTTTTTTTTTGTTTTTGTTTGTTTGTTTGTTTGTTTGTTTTTGGGGGGGGGGTGTTGTTTTTTGTAACGTTACAGATAATACAGAGTAAAACCTCAATGGATGTACTTGCTGACTGTAAGAGCAAACAAAAATTAAATCAACCAACCAACAAACAAACAAAAACAGGACAAAACTTTACTTAAAGTCCACAATAAACTCTGTATTTTACCAGATGCTTACCTTGGAGGGCATCTGTTCCTGGTTTACCTTACAGGTCCACATCAGAGATCTCCAACTCCGGTCCTCGTGAGCGACTGTCCTGCAGGTTGTAGACATTTCCGCACTGCAACACACCTGACTCACATGAATAGATCGCCAACAGCTTCTTGTCAAGTTCTACACAAGTCTGTTAATGATCCAAGTGTGCTACAGTACGGAAACGTCTACAACCTGCAGGACAGCAGCTCACGAGGACCGGAGCTGGAGATCTCTGGTCTACGTCATGCCTTTAACATGACTTCTCATCCCCAGACCGAGCTGTCAGTCTCCATCCAGTCTCCATCCAGTCCCACTCACCCATTTAAAGAGGCTAAACAAATACAGAATAATAAACACATGCATCCAAACACCAGCTTGTCCAATACAAAAGCAGAAGTACATGAACCAACACTATCATTAGTAATGCACTGGCATGTAGACATCTGCATTCAGAATATTGGCAGAGTCCTTGGATTTCAAATGACAAATTAATTCACTTAAACATTAAAAATGGTGCCATTATTGGGTTCTGTGATATGAACAACTTTGAAAATGTTGTTTAAAGTTAAATATCTGCTGCTATAAACATATTTACCTGTTTAAGTCAGCTAAAGGCACCAAATACTCAGTGAACAACTTTACCAGAACAGTTCAGTGTTTTCATGCACGTTACTTTTATGACACTAGAGGTTAACTTGAAAGGTAACCTTTAGGTTGATAAAAAAGTTCCCAGGACCTCAACTGTGACCTGTAACACATACAGATGTTTCGAACCATGACTCAGCACTATAAATAGCCAAAACCACAGCAGAAGTGAGAACAGCACAGTGTCACGTAAATGTCAATTGACTCAAACTGTATCACTTTACAGTAAAGTCGTCCTCAAATTTATTCATACCCTCCCATTAAAGAAGGAAAAAAACAGCTGACTTCTGCGCCTGTTGACAGATATTCTGATTCTGGTCCACTGCTCGTCAGCAAATTGCTCTAATATTCCGGGACAGTTTTGTTTTTTTAAAATATTCTTTTCAACCACAATTCAAAAGCGATGTCTTATTTCACTAAATTATAATTTAGCAAATTTTTATTTATTATTATTTTTTTCAATTTCTAGTTATTTGAGTGACTTTTGTTAATTTTGCCTTTTCTTTAATGGAAGGGGATGAATATTTTTGATGCGCCGGTGTAGAAACTAAATGCAACGATAGTGATTGTACTGTAAATTACTGACATTCAAATCTTTCATTCTTCATACTTTGTATGTCCAACTTCACTTCTAATGACAGTCTTCCTCAGCGTGGAGGATAGCCCATTTATGAAGAGACATTTTCTTTAGAGATGTTTTTTTCCCAGCTTCTCTGTGTTGGAGGGCTTGTGTTGTGTCCGGCTGTGTTGCTCTCCCCAAAGCTGTTTTATTGTATTCAAGTCAGGCGACACACCTGACCATCATAGCTTTTTCTTCTACAGAAACTCTTGTGTGCTCTTTGGAACGTTATCCTGCCAGAATATTGCTCTTCTACTAAGTTTGTGCAGACTGAGAGTCCTCACTTGTCAGCCGGTGTTTCGGTGTATCCACAGCGTTCATAGTGCCGTCCATACATGTCGTCTCACCAGCAACGTTTGCAGAGTCATCACACCCCCCACTGCCATCCTTCACTGTCAAGACGATGCGTTCACTGTCGTAGTGCTGGCCAGCTTCACATCAGAATTACCTGATCTCAGCAAATGTATCCTCTTGTGTGCTCCCAATACTCATAATGCTTATTTTATGTTCTTTAGCAAAATTTACATACAGATTTTTTTTCTTGGACGCCATCCATGGAGGCTACCGTTAACCAATGTCCTTCGCACTATCTAAGTTGTCACAAACAGTCTGTGCCAAATCTGAATCACTTGCCCTGTTTTTTAGAGTTATGTTGTGAAAGCAGCACATTGTCCATGGTGTTGTTTTAGGAGGACAGCCATTGGTGGCACTACGGCTCTTTTTTGTACCACCTGATCATTGCTGCAGCTGTGTTTTGACAGATCTTCCTTTATCCTTTTCCACGTGTTTGAAGTCCTGTGTTCAGATTTTGCTGCTGTCCTGACAAGTCTTCAACATGTGGAGCCGTGATACTGACATGCAGATAGTCACAGGTCCAAAGCTGTAAAAGTTCTGGTGTTCTCGGGTCATTGTGTGAGCATGTTTGTGCAGTTAGGCTAATCAGTGCCCTCAGCGTTATTCAGTTTTGTTTGAATGATCACAGGTTTTTGAACTTGTGTGCCAGTAATCACAGGTGTATTCACTTCTGATAGCGCTGAATTTCTACTGTGGGGCCTTTATTTACAATCTGGGCTTTCTAAAGCATTGGTTTTT